CATGAGCATGCCTTGCTCATCTTGCTTGTACTTCTCATAACTCCACCTTCTTCAACACTTGCATCCTAGAGCTCTTGGGGCCATCTTGCATTTACATATGAGTTATGGATATCTGATCTGGATTAGCTTTTTTTTTATACCTTGGTTGATAGTTTTAGTAAAAGACAGGTAATTATGGAGTGAAACTCTTGGCATTTTATCAAATAACCATCCTTGTCTTTTAGTGAATATTTCAAAAATGTCATTCTTGAGATGACAAACATATACTTTGTCGTTTAGTGGAATTGTCAATAAGGACCCTTTCATTGACAAAAATTCCCTTAATCCTTTTATTGCCATTGAATAAATAAAGGGAAAACTAATGTAACTTTGACGGTTCACATCCCTTTCTAAATATAACCTATAGGATTTCATGAGGTGTAAACCATTGAAAACCTATATATTCTTCAAAGGCTTACGGTCGGCCAAAATATCTGTTTCAACGCCATGTGAACATCATTGAAGAGGTTCTGCAATACCTTTTGCTTCACTTGTAAAATTAATAGAAATAGGTTGACTTACAATGCATCGACATAGTTGTATGCATTCTTTTGAAGTTGGTTGTTTCACAATATTTTTGGCCTCTGTATATGGTTTTATGAACTAGATATTTATGAACTGCCATTGTCTAGACAATTGGTAGATATAACCGACCTGTAGGTTCTGGCAGCCATATGTTATGACCCTTTTCTACACTGTCAATGACATTGAATCATTCATGTTTTTATTGTATGTTGGGATTTGCTACTTACCCATGGTCATGGGTAGGCAACTATATATAGCACCTTAGTGGAGAAAACGTTTGCCTTTTTGTCAATTGAGAATCTGTTTTTTTTTTCCATGTGATCTATTCTGGGCCATACTGGGCAGGGGCCTTTTCGACAAGTGCCTAATGGCTTGGCCTAGGTGCCCGCTCTTGGCCCACACTTATTCAATTAAATAATGATTCCTTATAGTCCTTTTGTGTTCATTGTTGGATCTTCAGACTTGGTATTCATACTTAGGACTTGGATGAGCTCAAATAGGTCATCATCTGAAAAAAAAAAAAATGGAAATGCTTGGATATATCTTACAAAGTAAATTCTTGACAATCATATGTTGCCCCTGTAACTCAATGGGGCCAGATAATGTGTTCCAAGGCAATTATTAAAAGTGACACTAGAAAGTTTTTCATTCATTTATCAAAATGAATAACAAGTTTAAATGAATTTAAATTGCTTGTGTGAAGATTGGAAGTCCAATGACGAATCTTCCTATTCTTGTAATTAGAGTTAAAGCTTCTTCTCTTTTTTTTGGTTGGCAAGAAATGGACTCAGTAAAACTGAAAGCGTTGTTACTAACATAGTGTTCTTTACAACTGGATTACGTGGCTTGCCCCCTTGAACTAATCTTTTCCATATTGCGTTTATGGTTTTCCTTTTTCCTTCTCTCCTTAACAAAAGCAAAATCTGTCAAACATTCTTTGCATTGAATTCCTCTTCTCACTTGTGGGGGGCTTAAGTCATTTTCTTTGCAGAAATATTTTTGAAGTTCATGGTTTGACATATGAATTATCATGTGTATGTTCAATTGTTGGGGTTATGTGCCCATTTAAAGGCCTTATGAGAGAATGTACTAAAAACATGTAGTGAAATGTTGGCTCCAGTGGAAGTGTGGTCTACATTGGATTGTGAGGCAATTCTAATGCCTAGACTCACTTGAGCTTTGACTGGCTATGGCTCAATGTGATGTATAAAAACCTGTAGTCTTGGGCATTGTGTGAACGCAACCGATAAAGATTTTCAATGTGGGGTTATCGCTTGATGAGGTCAGAAATGTACCCAGAACAGTTGGCCAGAGGCCACTTGTGTGTGATGGATAGCTTGAGAGGACAAGGGCCTAAATCCTCATCATTACCATCACACGGCATGTACACTAGATAGCTTTTTGGAAAGCAGCCGTTTTGGATAAGGTGTGTGACGTGTACATGTGCAAAAAAGATGACTTCATGTGATACTAGACCGTATTGGAAGGACCCACGGAGCATACTGCTGAAATAGGGCCTGGACTTGTCCTCAGGGAGGGACCTATAATCCATGGACTAGGATCATATCTCCTTCATTTATTGGTTGACTTTGATAGTCCAATCATGAACTCTTGCGAAGGGTTGTAGGTCATGGGAACTAGTGGGCCAGTTTGATAAGGTGCAATGAGATACAATCCCTCGAAAGGATGAAGCTTCAGTATATTTGTTGTAATCCTAACTCTATGGATCCAATTCTCGTCAAACCTTAGATATGTTTAAATATGTTTTAATTATTTTTCAGATAATTAAAATGAAATTTTTTTACCTCCCTAGGTATTCTATTTTATTGAAAAATGATTTTTTAAATAAAAAATCAAATTTCTGGATTTATTTTAATCAGAAAGAAAAATAAAATATTTAAAGGTTTTATGAAGTTATTTTATTATCTGAAAATAATGTTTAAGACATTGGGGACCCATTGGGGCTCCTTAGGCCCACCAATAAATGGGGCGTAGGGCCCACTTGACCACCCTATGTGTGGTGCACCCCACCTCCTCCATACTTTGTTAAATTGAAATATGTCAATTAAGCCATAATAAACCTTTTGTGTAGATATTTTGATTGTTTTCAAAAAGGGAAAGTGTAAGAAAATAAATGGAATAGAACTAATACTATCTTTACACAATATTTGATGGGAATGGAGTTATGGAAACTGAGGGATAATGGTTCCACCTCATTACTTTAATCATGATGGTTGATCTAAAGAATGAATAGATGAGATCTCTTCACCGTACAGGTTTTCAAGATCAAATGCCAAGATTAAATCTCATAATGATGGTAAAACCCTAATCTTGAAACCCTAGCTTTTATTCTATATAAACTAACTATGGGGGGGTCTATTCTCTACACCCTAACCCTCTTTATCTTTGAGCCTCAAGGGGTTGGCACACCCCTCTCTAAACTTCTCTCTTCTTCTCTCTCTAAGATTAGGGTTTGGAAAGAAAACAAATCCTAAGGGGTGGCACGCCCAAGCCACTTAGCCTAGTCCTAGGTCTTGGCCTTATGCTCCTGTGTTGAGCTTTGGTCAAGAATATCCCATGTTATGCTCTTTGCTGGTTTTTTTTAGGCTTCCCAAGTTTCCAGATGAGATCTTAAATCAAGATCCCGTGTGCCATTGGTGGAGGAGACCTCGTGTGGGGTGTACGAAGTCCTTGGGGGTAACCTGAGGCAAGGTATGTAGTACCTTCTTGTTTCTTGCTTATTTGATTCCATTACGTCTTTTATGTAATTTTGTTTAAAGGCAAGCAAGTGAGAGTTCTTGGCAATTTTATTTGTTTTATATTATATTTAGACACTTGTGAGTGATTCGGGTGGCATACAATAAGGGGCCGTTTTGGTACCTGGAAATCTATTACATGACAATAGATTACAAGGAAATATGACATTTTCACTGTTTGGGTTCACTTTAATAGTAAGGAAATGGAAAGAGATTACCCGAAATTTCCCCAAAAATCACGAAATCGATTACGCACGGTGAGGGGTGAAAAATCTAATATGTGCGTGACATGTAATCTTTGGGAAATCTTTCGCGCGCACCTCTCTTTGCCCTATCCCTGCTTAAAAAAAATACCATGCTAGGAACGTACCAAAGCGATGCTTCTCTCTTCATTGGTAAGCCCTACTCCTCTCTTCTTGAGCCATAATAACTGGTTTGCATAGGTGTTCCCTCCTTCTCTAAGCCCACCCCCTCTCTCTTGAGCCCTAATAACTGGTTTGCATAAGGTGCTCCCTCCCTCCCTAAGCACGCCTCTTCTCTCTCTTGAGCACTAATAACTGGTTTCCATTAGGTGCTCCCTCTTATTAACCAGTTATTTTGGTGTGGATAAGCCCTACCTCTTTAATCTCCTCCAATGCCTTAAAATTTTCTACTGCAATTACCAAACCTTCTAGTTTACTAATCAAACTTCTTCCCATTTTTTAACTTGTACCATAAAGATTTTGAATTTGGTATCATAAATTTATTGCTTATTTGAAATTATATAGAGACATTTGAAAGACTTATATAATAAATAAATAAAAATAAGGCTTATCACAATAAAAATATGTTATTCCAATCATATTATTCCAATGACTTATCATGTTGAAACCAAAGTCTAATCAAGTTAGAAGACATGTGATTCCATGTAAGTGCTAAAGGCATGCAAAATAAGTAGGAAATGGTGTGATGATGACTTTAGAATGGTACAAGTTATTATTAAAAAATCTTTTTGGAATGGTTATGATGTTACTAGAAAATAGTTTTGGAAAGGTGTGATGATGACTTTAATTCCGCATTCCAGTGGACTTTTGTGACAAAAAAGAAAGAAATGATAGGTTATAGGCAATAAAATGTTGGTAATGTATTTCTCATATTTCTTCCAGACGTAACCAAAAAGTAGCAATGTATTTTCCAGGTTGCATCTAAATACTACTTAAACAGTAACAATCCATTTCATGTAATGTATTATGCAGTAATGTATTACGCCAGTAATATATTTCACAAACAATATTCCAGGCATCCAAACGGCCCCTAAGAAAAGATAGAAAAAATTTAATCGGTATTGACTTGGCCCGTCACATACTTCACCTTTCATCAACTTCTTAGTGCAATATCTGCTGAGAATTTTATACTCATGACTTGATATTAAACTGATACAATTAAATATCTATGATTGTTTGGTGGGAAGGTTTTAATTTTTACTTATACTAAAGAAGGTTCCACATCATTGTACTGCACAAATGTTGTTAAGAGCTCTTAAACTTCATGAAATTCATTTACTTGTCTGATTAGAAACTAATTGATATTCTTCAAATTCTAAAGCATGTTTGTAGAAGTTCAAAACCAGTTGGCTTGATACTGATTTCTACTTTCGGTCTTCCCTTTTTACTTAATATGTAGAGGCTCCTTGCAATACAGGTCATCACTTGATGAAAATAAGGCATTCTTGACGACCGCAGATTCTGCTGTAAAGTTGCTAAAGGAAGCCACAAAGGTTGTACCTGGTTGGAAAGGACTAGAATATAAAGCAGCTTTTCCTATAGTACAGCCCCCTGGAGCTAATTTTTATCCTTCAGACATGGACAAAAAGGTGACAATTTTCCAGCGGTTGTTATGGTCTAATCTCCATATAGAATGTTGGATGTTTCTTATATTGTGTGCTCAGTCCTTTGATCGACATTGTTTTCTATGATTTGGTTTTGTTTTGAAATGAAAATGTAGGCATTTCTTGTGCTATAGTAACTTCCATTATCATTAGGCAAGTCTTGTACAGCCCTGCTACTAGCATGGATTTTTTTTATTAAACCAAATTATACGACAGAATGTTCAAAGCATCACAAATGTAGGGATCTAAGTTAATACACAAATTAAGATAACCCCTCCAAACCTTCAGTTGCTTGTGACTATATATAACACGATTGCCCATTTGTACCCGTATGTGTTGATTGACATTATGATGCCATTATGTACCTCATGCAACTGTAGGCCTCCTGGTTCACATTATGATCTCCAAAAAACCTTCAGTTGCTTGTGACCTATATATAACATGATTGCCTATTTGTACCTGTATGTGTTGATTGACATTATGATTCCATTATGTACCCCATGCAACTATAGGCCTCCTGGTTCACTTTATGATTTCCATTATTTCCATGAAAGATTCAAAAGCACATATGGGACCCTTAAAAAAAATTATGAATTTTCTTAAGGAATAAAAATTTAGTAAGGCATAGAGCCTTACATGTATGATAACTAATTGAACAATAAAGATTGGAGAGCATTGAGTAATTGAGTCTGTGACTCTGGTTTCCACGTGGCAGATAGAAAGAAATCATTTTGCCTATTGGAAGGACGACAAAATGTGATCTTATATCAACAAACCTTTTCATTCAATAAATCATTCTGGGTTTTGTTTCTTGTTCACTTGAAATTCCTTTTCTAAAAATTGTTCTTGTTTGCATTATTGTGGACTTCCAGAAAATGTATTACATGATCCAGAAAACTTGTTACATGATCTTGCCTTTCTCTTAGTGAAGTCAGTAGAGGTGCGATTGAATTCTACCCAATGTTATTAAGACTTGACACAGTGGGGCAGCAGTCCGGTCGAAGAGGTTCACTGGTCATACCGGTAAAGAAATAAAACCAAATACCAAAAAATTTGGGAAATAGAGAAAATTAGGAAAACCCGAAAAAAATATATAGAATTATTGGGAACAGTAAAAATTTATACATTCATAAAATGCATTAAGCAATAACGTTTTCAATAGATGAAATTAAGCATTAAACAACTGAAAAAATGTAGAAAGAAAATCAAATTTTCGTATAAAAATTTTAAAAAAACTGGAAATGTAAAATTCATAATACGGAATGGTTTTAATCTATCAACATTTTCAGGATTCTCATTTAAGTGAAAAGAAAATAAAAATAAAAATAAAAAAATATGTAAATGAAAACAAATAATGGAAAAACACCTAATATAATGCACATGGGCCATCAAATAAAAAAAAAACTACAATATAATTTGTTAGACAAAACATGTTGCATTAATATGGAAAAAGGAAACATCTCTTTTTTTTATCAAAAATCTAACAATATGCACTTTCTAAATAATAAACCATTCAAGAAAAGGGTGTAATGAACTTACTTGGTGCTTGAAATGGGATGCCGGAATCCCCTTGGGAAGTTGCCAGATTTTCACCAAGGATTTGGGGTTTTCAATCGGAGTGTGTGTGTGCTCTGTCCTTAAACAAGACATTTTCCCAAAGCCTCCTAAATATTAAACATTATCAAAATGCCCTGAAAAAATTTAAAAGAAAAAAAAAAACACCCAAAAATGGCAAAAATTGAACTAAGCATTTTCAGTCATTTTGGTTCCATTTCGGGACTGGCTAGTTCAATCTGGACATTCAAGTTATCAAACTGGTCACTTCACTGGTGAACCAGTTCGATGGTCCTACCAGTTTGGGGGTTCCTAGATCAACCAGTAGGAGCACTGCTTCACCTGTTTTGGTCCGCTTTTGGCTTAATATCCAGAAGTTCTTCCATTGCCCCAATTGATTGGCTTCGCTTCCATTGTTAACCGACAAGATGGAACTAGAGAGATTGTGAAGGAGTTAAGAATTAAAAAGAATATTCTTTTTTATTCATAACATCTTGTATCATTTGCAAATGATTTACCTTCATAGAACTAATTATATGGTTGGTTAATTTGGTTGATAATAAGATAGATAGGCCTCACTCGCCCATGCCCAGCACCCTTGAGCCTTGGCACCACTCAGGCCCGGATACAAGAGCTCAGGTTCAGGCTTGGCCTGACTATTTGTGGCCTCTTAGAACCCCTAATCATCTGTTCTTAGTGTTTGGGGACAGGCACCCTCAGTGTGGGCCATGGACTCCTACGCCCAGGCCCGGCCTAATAAGGAGACAAGTATCCAACATGTGGCCCAGGGGAGTTCCTGTTTCTTTCAGTCTGGCTGGGCTGGGCTGCCTGGCTAGTCCAAAAGTTTTAGATTGTGATGATGCATTGATATTTGTCCCTAATAGGTTGGTGCTTCCTATTTCTATAGGATACTAATAGAATGAAGTTTTTGGTTTAGGAATTTGAATCGTGGAAGAGAAGTTTGCCAGAGGATCAACAGCAAGCTGCAGTAGGGTTTTTCAGTGTCATTCGCAGGGCTTTGAAATCCATTTTGGATACATCATTGAGTGTGGTATCTTCTGCTGACAACCAGATTGGAAAAACTGAGCTTTTCAAACCTGATGATCTCTCTATTGTTCCTTTCTCTGAAGAATATAGACCTTTTCTTACAACGGCTTCTGAATTGCTGCTTGAAGCAGGAGACCTAGCAGATACTCCAAGGTTGGGTTTTGTTCAATTCTCTTTTGCTTGTAATATATTTGTTAAAACTTGTTAATATGGATTTCCATCCCCTTTCTCTGTTCCAGTTTGAAGAAACTTCTGAAATCCAAAGCAGGGTCTTTCCTTTCAAATGATTATTATGATTCAGACATTGCTTGGATGGGACTGGTGAGTGTAGTGGCTTTATGGTCAGAGTTCACTGTTTGATTGTTTCTAATAATCAACTTATACTGATTTCTTCGTTATTTTCTAGTATTTTTGTGATGACCAGTTTTATGTAAATAGATCATTGTATTGTTTGTGATATGGGGTTGGGCTAAAATGAGTAATCTTTGCATTAGAGCATATAGTCACTTTCAGACTTAACTGAAATACATAAGTTGAGGGCTTACTAATGAATTCCGTACTTACCATGGTGCATTTTTAGGTTTCAAACGGATTTATAGGAAAGGTATGAAATAATTAACACCAATTCCCAGCAAATAAACTTATGTCGTTGGGTACGAAACTCAATCCAAGAATAAAAAGCCTATAGTAAGTCCCAGCGTTTCATGAAACTTTTTTTAAGACCTAATCTTTTGTCATCTTTTTTTATTTTTTCAATTTTCCCACCTCACTGAAATTCAAAGATAAAATTAGAAACAAAGAAAAGAAAAAGGGAATTACAATTTTTCAAATGGACGGTACTTTATTTACCTTAAGACTGGAGGGAAATCCATTTTGAAGATTTCACAAAGGGCATCTTGTTTATGTTGCAATTTCCATTGTAAGAATAGCTTTTTACTGTTGAAATTGAAAAGGCTGAGATGAAGCATGGACCTAGGGTACTTGATCAGACATTATCTAGGGAGTATGAATAGTTTAATCATACAAAAAACCTTAAATGGCTTGCTAATAGTTGAAGATTTCAAAGTCAATCTTATGTACATGATGTTATAAAAGAAATCATAATACGGTTTTCTTTCTCTCATCAATAGTGTTGTGTGTGTATGTGTGTGAAGGAGGTTTCGCTGTTGTTAAATTTATATCTTATAGTCTTATGCAATAGAATGGTGAGCTACCATTCTCTTTGTTAAAATGGTTTAGAATTTATCAGAGTAGCAATTAGAGAAAGAAGAGGCAATATCAAGAATGTCCACCTTCAAATTGAAACCCTAGAACCAACATCTAGTTGTTATGCCACTTTCCTCTTCAGTTGACTCTTCATGCGGAGCACGATAATTAATGTGAGTGTATAGAAACCAAATCTCTTACACTTGGAGTACATTAAAGACAAAAACAAGGCAATACACCTCGAAATTTGTACAATACACTTGGAATTCAGCTTTGAAAATGAAATTACAGCAAGGTCACTGTGACTACAATGAATAATTGACTTCAAAAGACACTCAAAAGTAGATGATACAACTCAACTTGGCCATTGACAAAATAAACTACTCAAGGAGTTCATGAAACTACACATGTACAGGGTGCTTTTGAAAAATCTGCACCACGCAAAATTACAAGGCAAAATTATACATCAATAAACTTTATAAAACTCAACATGACATGAGCTCCAACTTAATAACATACCTATGCACAAGTGTGCAATGCATCATGACCATGGGAAGCCGATTGGAGCTCTCTGGTTCCCAGTTTATTGCCTTGGGTCTTAGCTTAGCTATGTGCCATTGTGTGACATGTGATGGCATATCTCAAAATCTAGCCAAATTCATCATCTCAAGAGTGGGAAGCCAAGCATCTACTGATATACACTTAAAACATGGAAGGATTGGTAGAGATCTAAAGATCAAATCAAGTGGGAAAATCGTGGAAGAAATCAGGGTTCTTAAAACACAAAACCTGTTCATTTGGGTTTTACATATCGAGCCACTCAAATTCGGCTTAGTCTCCTCTTATAAATATGATCATGAAAATCTCAAAGAAATATCAGTCAAAATTGCTCCAAAAATCAAAGGGAAAATCTCATGGAAACTAGATTAAACTATGCATGAATGATGCCTTCAACCATATGGATTACGAGAGATCAAAGTGGATTTAAAATATCAATGATCTAATCATCAAGGGATGAAGATAACTTGCTGTAATTGAGGATTTACAGTAATAAGAAACATAAGAATCCAAGAAAAATAAAGAGATCTTGCTCAATTGTTGAAGGCTTCAAGGCTAGATTATTTGTTGCTTGCATTTGAGCTTTGATTCACCATTAATAGAGTAGTGTAGTAGATTCAATGGAGCTTTCTCTCACCTTAACATGAAGGCAACTTTTAGAGAGAGAAAGGAAAGGAGAAGTGGCTTGGGCATGCCACTCTATGAGAGAAGAGAGAGAGTGAATGCTGTGCCACTTTAGAGAGAGAGTGAATGTGAACTCATGTGAGAAATGAAGGCTCAAGGGCGTATTTGTAGGCTTCTAACACTTGAGTGTAGAAATGCTTCTAGATTGATGAATCTTGGCCCTCCATGTCATCATCCAATGGCTACAAACAAAGGCTTGATCCTAGCTAACCATCCACCATCATGCCATCAAGATGTGTGGTATGGATTTAAATATCTTTATCCTCCTTTAATTCACTCCAATTTTCCTTGTTACTAAAATACCCATGTTGTTTACATGTAATTAAACCAAGATCAAGATGGAGGGTATAACCTTATGGTAATTTGACAAAATTCCAGCAAAAAGCAAATCTCAAAAGTTCCCTCCATTTTATAAGAGCATGTGGGGCTAATGAAGTCATGCCACATAAGCTAGGTGGTTAATTGCACATTTACTACATACCCTTTTAGGCTTGTAATTACAAACCCTATATCCCTTTTAGAAACCTTCACACATGTGCACAAACCCCTTGCTTTAAGTTTTAAACAAGTGCTAAAACTATTTTTCCAAAATCACAGTATTTTATAAAATGCCAAAATTCATTGTCCTTCACTTAAACCAACATTTCACAAAAGGACATGGGGGTCCCCTAGGGGGTTGAATTATGAATTACAATACTCAACGCGGCTAGACCCGGAATCCAAAGCCACCTTCTCGATATGACCCAACAGACTCATGTCCCACAATGTATAATCAAGGTTATGATCTTAGCCTATTAAAGTCAAACTAATGGGTGACCCTAAATCGCTAAGTATAAGTGGATTTCATGTGCACCCCCTAGAGAACATGTGCACACATGGTGTGGGGTTTTCTCTCTTGGCACATGTGCATATCTCTTACCAGTGGATCCTTGGAAGTGCGGCTTCCTATGCATTGCGACTGTATATGCACATGCTATGAGAAAGTTCTAAGAGTTAGGGATTTAGGCCAATGCCCTCTATTAGCCTTAACCTTCCTGTACAAGGCTATTTTGTCATCGAGCTCATATCACATTATCACATAAACACATAAATCGTATCGCCCTGGCTCATCATTCCGTCATGAGGCACAAACATAATAACCGGCCCTGATAAGAGGTAACCTTCAACCCTCTCGGTACCTCTCATGTATATAAATCCTCCTCATGACTCAATCATATGATTGTTGGTCCCCGTGCACCATGATCCTAGAGTCATGTTGCTCTTTGACTCCCACTGAACTCAAGATCTATTAAAAATGTCGGAATTTAAGGCCTTGAAAGTACATAATTCCATCAATTAAAAGGGTTGTACTCGATATCTTCTTGGGTGGAAAGATCACCAATTTGCCCATGAATGATACCAAGTTGTTGGGCAAGTTGTTGAACCTTCTATATGAAATCTTCAATTTCGTCAACTCTGGCATCACGGATTAGGTTTACATGAGTTCCCCTTCCATGTCTACATACCTCTTAGCTGACTAAACAGTCTCCCAGTGTTTTATTCCCTTGTTTGTAGTTGATGACATATTGATGCACACCCTTGACACATTATCTTTCTGGGCAAATTGCCTTTTCTCTGCCTCCCAAATTTCATCAATTGTATCTAAAACATATGCCATCTGACTATTACGAAGTTCCATGGAGTTCAAGAGCCTTTCCTTGATAATAGAGGCATCAATGTCCCATTCATTGAGTTTGGGATCAAGTGGATCTGGTTTCTGAATCTTTCCATGGATATATTGTTTTAAGCCTTGAGAAAGAATGAGCTCATACTACATAGTTACTTTCGGCTACATATTAGTAATTTGTTCTCTAGGATTATCAAATAAATTTTGTTGCACTTGCTGATTGATACCACCTGAAGCACTACCAAATGGAACATCTTTGCTCATGGTAACAAGCAAGAGGCACAAGAGTACAATATCTTCCTCCTGGTCTGATAGAAAAGAGATACATATAAAAAACTTCAGCAAATAGTACTTTAAGATGCTGAAAAAATATCGGAATTCGAAGGGGATCATCCAGATCAGAAAATTCAGGAAGTAGAAATGAAATATCAAATCTGCAAAATCAACGAAGATGATTTAAATTTGAAAATCAGCTTGGATATATTTGAAGACTCAGCAAGAGTTCTCTAGATCTGAAATATAAGCAAATATATTTGAAAATTTTGCTGAAATCTCAAATTTGGGAATTGCATGTCTGTACCACATGTGAGATAAACAATAGAATGGGATGGATCATACAGAATGCATATGGGGAAGTCTAAGAGACTATAATAAGAGATCCTAGGAATTATAGGCCAGCAAAAATTTGAGGAATGCCTTGCAATTGAGAGGAGGAACCAAAACTTTTCTAGAAAGGAAACCTAGAAACAACTTCTCTGGGATATGTCGGGGTTGTTGTTACTTTGACATGTATATGTTGAAGTCCCTTGAATGGGGAGAGTGAATGATAACCCAATATAGATGAAGAAATTGATATGTTGAGTACGTCTTGCTCTAATTTCATGTTGAAATGATTTTAGGGTTCATCAGATTAGCAGGTATACAAAGAAGAGACAAAATAATGAAGTGGGCCAAAACTCATTCCATGTGTCTTTCCCTACAAGTCTTATATTACATGCTTTACAACAATACCCTGGGACAAATAGATAATTTCACATAAGGTTGAGGGTGTGACCTTTTTTACATAATAATTTTAGTATGGACATTTAGGCCCATGCCTAGATTATATTGCATTACTCTACACTCTTCCTATTTTAATCAGTAGCCTGTTATAGATTCTTTGTATCTATGGAGTTTCCTTTATGGTATGGTTCATATCATTCAACGCAAGGTAAAATTTGCTAAATTTTCTGTAATTGAATGCAACTTAAGAGGGAACATAAGCAATTGTTAGGATGTCATGTAATGGCTAAGTATGCAAAACCAATTAGCTTGTTCTTATGTCAAACAAATTTAGATTTTTTTTTATGAATCACGTTTGTAGCATTTATATAAAGGATTATCCTTCCCTTTCAGATCAATGGTTTTCTTGCCTGGTAGAAATTGTCAACCTGCAATACACTATAACTTGCTCGTAGTATTTTGAAATTGTTTAAATATTGAACTCTAATCAAAATGACTTTCTTATATCATATTTATGATTTGTTCTTCGGTATTTCTGTGTAACATGATGGCAAACCTCTTGTAGGAATCCAAACTGGATGTTACCATCGGTCCATATGAAACATATGAAGATATGCTCTTTGGATACAAAGTATGTATTCACTTCACCGGAGCTACTTATGTAAATAGACAGCAATAAGGGCCATTGTAGAATAATATTGTATGGTTTGTTGGTACTGTATTTTGTTTCATTTATTAACTAGCTGTATATGCAAGTAAAAAAATTACTATTGAACAAGTTACTGCATATTTAGGAGTGAAGGTTTTCTTGTATGGTTTGTGCGGATTGTCTTTATGTTTATTTTGGATAGTATAGCTGAGCTCTGAAACTTGGATGTTGTGTTGCTGAGTGATCTATGAGTTTAGCCCACTGAATTGTCATGGATACAAGGTTTACAATTTCTGAATATACGAGTCCATCACCAAATATGTCTGTATGCTCAGAAATTTGAGGTGCATGTGAAAGCGTCCACCAGAAAAAATAATGAACAAAGCTGTTGACTGCAAACTCAACCATTGAAGTTTCCTCCTCTTGTGGTAGATAGCCACTTTTGAAACCTAAAATTCCTTAAACATTGAATGCAAAGTTGTTCGGGTGCTTTCTATAATGTGAAGCAACTAGGACCTAAGGCATTTTGGGATGTACCATCATTCATGACCTAGTTAGAAGTCTCCTTAGTAACTCATCAACACTATAATGCTTTTAGTTCAGTGCTAGGACTCAAACTTGGGACGTAATGCTGCAATTGTCAACCCATTACCCAATCAGTCCCATTTGCCAATCCTAATCAAGAACATTGTAATGATTGATGCAAATTCATCACTTAATCATTCTTCTCAAAGAATCAGTACAATTTGCTGTGAATAAAATATATATATTCTGAAAAATGTCATGCTGTCATGCTATTCTATGAAATGGCCAACCTTAGATTGCTCACTCATTGTCTACGTGTTTTAATATCTGGCCACTTTTGTTCTTTTCAAGTAGAGTGCTATTAAAAATCTAAATATATATGAAAAAGAATGCTTGATATAAAGCTTCGTTGCACCTGCAAAGACCCATACTATGAAATGCTCTTATTTGACATTATTGATATTGTAGGAAAAAAATTGGAAATTTGGTTGGCAATGACTGGATGGTACATGATGCAAATTCTAAAAAAATTCTGCAGACTGGACTGAGCATCTTTTATTAATGCTCCTGTAACTCCCCAGTCTTACACTTCCCTGCCCTGAAATTTTACGGACCCTGAATGAGTTGCTGCCACGTCCTGGAACATGTGGTCCAAAACAGGGAGAATCTGCAGAATCTTCAGACTTGAAAATTGCCAAAAATCACTTTATAGGACTCCATAAAATCCATATATTTTCCCCGGATCAATCTACACCTACTAGCTGTTTCACTTCTTCTCTGTGTTGGGTAAGTTTCAAAGTTTGAGAGTTACAGGTTGTAGGTCCTCGTGAGTTACAGATTGTAGGTCCTTGTCCTCTTTATACTTAGATATCTCACATAAGGATGTGGAAGAAACCCTAAGCGACTACTCTCAGCCACACACCCTATCTTCTTCCTCTTTCTCTTGTCAACTCAAAACCAATCTGGAAGTCACATGCTCCTCTGTCTCAAACCTCTTAGCATCCCACTTGACCTATCTCTAGCTTCCTCATGTTGATGCTCTCTCTCTCTCTTGAAGTCTCTCAATTTCTCCTTGGTTTGCATACAGGGCACCCTTTATCTAGAGTTATAGACTAGTCTAGGGGTGATGATGATATAAAGTGAAATAGTCTTATAGTTCTAATCAGGAGACCATGGTGTAAGAAGGTTAATCTTAGCCACCCATTCCTTACCAGAAATCGTACATCAAAGATGGAAAATTCGCCATTATCCCTTGGTGGATTGTTCTTCCAATACTCCTCCATTCCTATATGGAGTCCACTAGAACCTGCTAAGAAACTTCCACTTCTTATTGGATTCTCATAACTACAACTAGAAATGATCTCCTACCAAGATTCAAGCGACCTTAGATTTCCAAAATTATTCAACTACCTAACCAACTTAGATCTTCTTGAAATCGTATCACACTGGGAAACCATCTATAATACCCTTGCACCACTTGGGAGTTCTATTCGGCCCCACAACATCCCTTTGACTTTTTGGGCAGCCACATCACCTCCATGGCCAGTGGTGGTTCCATGTGGTCAAAAAGTCAAAGTGTGTGGGGCCGACCTAGACAAAACCGCGGTCCCAAGATTGGCCCCATGCGACTGCAACTCCTCCTAAATTGTTCCCTTGTAAACAAAACAATACTCCAAAGAAGACCCATGCTATAAAACAAATATTTTATTCCAAAAGGATCCTCTAGTTGAATACAAAATGCACTACACAAAATTTAGGTGGTTAAATGGAGAAAATAAAACTATTTTATTTCCCTAGTAAAAAAAAGCTCTTGAAAACTAGCTGGCAGGGTATTTTAGCACCAAACAAGAACCTCAACAAGGCACTCCATGACTAATCTACAACCACACTTCAAACTTCAAACCAATCCTACAGACCAATGACCCATATATCTCCTATGCAAGGGGTACATGATGGGCTTATCAAAGGTAGCCGAGGCAAAGAGCGATTAAATGTTAGCCACGGATTATAGGTGATCGTTCTCCATAAGGACAAGTTTATAGACCAAGCATTGTAATGGAGTTTCTTGATTTGATCCTTCAGCAATGGGGGAGTCCCCTCTCAAGCACGTGCAACACAAGGACCCACTCAAGTCCTCTAACCACAACTGGGCAACGCAATTGTCATGCATGCATGCTACTTACGATGTTGTGTCAAAGCTTTTTGGCACTCATCCTAGCAAGCTATTATCCAACCGCATAAGAGTGCCTTGGTTTCCTCCTAGCTAACTGAGAAGAGTACCTTGCTTTCCTCTTGCCCAGCTTTGCTCTGTCTTGATTTCCTCATGGTCAGCTTCCACCATTTGGCTATGCTGACATCAACAGAGTACCAATTGGACCTTCTTCATCGATGAGCATCATAGAGACTAAGCCAATGGAGCCTAGGGTGCGGGTCATCCATCTGGCCAAGACCTAGTCGTACACCAAGAACAGGGTCATCTCAAGCTCTAATGGGTTCTTTCATCCAACTGGAGCCTACTCACCCACTCTTATGGCCTCTTTTACCCTAATGGCCTCTTTCATCCATTTAAGGTAGGCTTACATGGCCTTCTTCATCCATCGAGTTCCAATACCCCAACTCAAACCAAGAAATGTTCTAAAAACTATGAGCGAAAAACACTCTCATGGTCTCTTTCATCCATTGAGGTGGTACTCATCGCCCGAATGGTCCCTTTCTGCTAGATAGATTCGCAATCCCAAGGGTACAAAGTACACACAAGAATTATACAAGAGCTTGGCAAGGCCTTTAGAAGCTACAAAACCCAACACGAATGTCGGCTTCTTTGGCAAAGTAACACAATTTGTTGTTTAACATTTACTGGAAGATGAAAATTTGAGTGCTTGTTGTGTATATATGGCTAGGGTTTTTTACACAAGGATCAGATAAAATTACCAAAATTACCTGTTAGTCCATAAGTTCCCACATTTTTACCATGAGAACCTACTCTCACATTTTTTATTTTTTCTGACTTTTGCCCGTAGTTTGATGTTTCTAACAATGACTACTTATTCTTCTTAATTTAATTTATTTTTTGGCATTCGTGGGGCGGTCTATTGGTCAATATGGTGAGCTACACCATTTCAGCAGTCCGATAATATTGGTATCAGATTCGTGAAATAAAAAAAAAAAAAAGAACATGGGGATTAGATGTTTGTAACATCAAACTACCCCATAGGCAAGGTTGGGCCAAAAATGTAGGGTGGTCCGATATTTCCATTATCGAACAGCCCACATATGGGGTGGTTATATATACTAAACATCAGACTGCCCATGAATGTCAGAAAAATAAATAAAAAAAAATAAGCGGTTCAATGTTAGAAACATAGAACTGAGGGAGAATTTGGAAAAAAATAAAAAGAACATGAGTACATGGTATAATATGAGAACCTATGGATCAGAGGGTAATTTCAGCAATTTTACCTGTCTGTATGTCATCGTCATCATCATCTAAGCTTTATCCAATTATTTTGGGTTGGCTACATGAATCTTGTGCCACCATTCTTCTCTATCAAGGGTCATACCCTCAATAAGAAACCTTATAATTACCTCGTTGGTAGTGTTCATGTTTTTATCTTTACATGCTTATATCTTTAATATATGTGAATAGGTGCTCCGTCCTTTCTTGTAGTTATATATTATCTTTTCAATTGATGGTGGCTACTAGGTTCTTGCATCAAAAGTTGAAGCAAAATTTTGACTTCCATCTTTGTTTCCTTTCATGCATGTGTTGAGTGCATAGTGTTGAAATATCATTTTGATTGATCAACAATTTTGTTGAGGCACCTATGTCCCCATGGTGGCCAGTAGAGCTGTGTAAATTTGGGCATCCTAACCCTGTCATTGAGTCCATTAGGTATGGAGCTCTTTTGCTAGCTAATGAACACCTCTGTTTCCTTTTCCCTCTTCGTCTAGGGCCTTCTGTGGTTAGTTTAGGGCTGTTTTTTTACACAATTACAGCAGCACACTATTAGAAAATATCACAATCTGAGTTTCCACAGAACTTGCTGGATTGAGGTTCAATAATATAGCCACAAGCTTTGGCTCATGTAGATGACAATGAGAATGAAGAAAACGAGTGGAGAGATAGAGAGTCTTCGAAGAAAAGCAGAAGCTGCTTAGGGTAGCTATTCTCTAGTTTCTGGTAGCCCACAAAAGCCGTAGCGTTTTTTGAGCAGGACGAAATGCCTTCGATACCCCCAACACACCTTGCTTGTGAGCAAAATCAGAGTCAATTTATACAACTATGGCAAAACTGTTGAAATATCACGTTTTGGTTACCAGCCAAGCAGGTGCTTAATGTTGTAGAATTTGTCGTTATGTTAAAATTAAGTTACATGTTTGGGACTTAGAAGCATTTTCCTCCTATGGCACTCGGGATAGGGTCTTTTATATTATTTTACAGTTGATAAAAACTTAATATCCAATTTCTTATTTTGGTGTTATATAAGCAATACTTCATGGTACTTAAAAGTTGGTTTTGTTTTGTAATATTTGTAAGGCAACTTTTGAAGCATATGTGGGAATTCGGGATGATGTAGCAACCTCCCAAGTAAAACTCTTTGGTGATCATTTGCAGGTGCATTGCTTTTATTATTTGCATTTCTTCTGAAGACTTATTTAGTTCTCTATTTTTTGTACTCACTGTACTCCTCTTGCATCCAGGTTTTGGAAGACAATCTTCCATTAGACGACACTTACAAGTCAAAAGACGTGAGTGCTGCTCCAATACGAGTTATCCAGCTCATTTATAATGCTGGGGTGAGTTACTTTTTTTCTGTTGATATTTCCCACAAGCTGTTTATGCATTCTTGTAATCCCTTCATATTGCAGAACATGAGATGCTTTCAATCATTTGGGAATGTAGATAGTGTAATTAATATATGGGCAAGCTTTCCATGCTTCCCCTACAGCATAAAACTTATATACTTCCCCTTATCCAACCGTCCATTCTAAATGGAGGGCTAAGATTGCCCCAATCACAATGTCCCGTCTCTACACTATTTTATTTTTAATTTTGTTTCTATAAACTACGTTTTCACCAAATTTTGGACGTCCAATCCTCTATTAAACTCGCACTAGCAAAAAATATAAAAAACATATTTGCAATGAAATAAAATGACCTAAAAGTTTCAAGGGGTATTTTGGTCATTATATTTTACTGAAAAAATATTTTTAATATTTTTTATAGGTGCGCCCCAATGAAAAGATGGCACATACGAAATTTCATATTCATACAATTTGTATATAAAAACTAAAAATAAAATACTTTGAGATGTTGGATCTAAGATCAAATGGTGAGTGGCTCTCTTGATCAAAATTGGACGGTTGGATGGTAGGGGAAGCATAGATCTTCTATGCTGTCGGGGAAGTGTAGAAACCTTTCCCTTAATATATTACTCATATTTGCATTACCTTAGACAATGACTAAGTAAGGAAGACCTACTAGCGCCAATCTAGAGATTCCAAGAGACATGATATTTGGCATGATAATTCCATGTTTCGTTTACTGGAAGAAAGTAGATGAGGAATAGCTATCCTGATCCAGTAGGTCGGAGTCAATCATTGTCAAACATGTTGAGATCTGATCATTTGTAGCCCAGGTATTCAAGAGGGTGAAAACAGGATGACAGTTCATGGAAGTAGCATAATGACTTTGGGAGATCTGAGATGGTTGCTTACATCGGTATGGTGACATCATTGTACTATCATGATACATCAACCACTAGCTCTGAATTTTCTGGGATGCAATTCTGGGAACTTTTGGTGGTGTGCCATTTTTTTTTTGCGAATTTTTCTGGGTCCTTGATTGCTACTCTGAAATTTAGACCTTTCTTATGAGCTGTATTTGCCTTTTATTATTAATGAAAATTGGGTTGGGGACCTTCTCCCCCACGGACTTACTAACCCTCTCTATATATCTTCACTACTCGTACAGGAAGGCTGTCAAGAAGGAATTTAGAACTATTAACAATCTCACTGGGACTTATTTGTTATTAATAGTTTTATTCACTATTATTTCTCATTGTTATTTTGAGGATAAAATTGACCAACCACGGGTTTCAGTAGCTTTCTTGATTCCCATTTTAAGGACAGGTACTTACGCATTTTCCATTTATTTTGGAGTCAGGGTTTTACCTTTTTTCCTGGATAATGACAACTGGGTTTTCTGACGATTGATTAGCAGCCTAGGACTGTTTGGGGTCCCAAGTTTAATGTCTTTAATGGACGCCTCTTTTGCTAGTTTTCAGTAGATTCATTGTCTATCAATCAAACTTTTACCTTTTATTGCAATATTCTTGATTGAAGTTCATTGAAATATCCGCCTGTGCTGTGATTCACATGCATGCCAATTAACCTCATGACTGTAGTCTCGTGGGCTTGAATGAAATCACACTAGAGTTCAGGTATACCTGTCTGGGAAAGACCTTGTATGGATGTGAATAGACAGCTGTAGTTATTGCATTACATGCACCTGGTTTGTTTCAATGTGTAGTAGGTACCCAATTTAGGAACTGGCACTTCCCATCTTTTTGATGCTTCCACAATGTGTGTAACCCGCAGAATCTAGTCTTTTTGGGGGGTATGAATTGTTAGTCCTCTGCTGGCCAAGTCAACCACAAGTATTTGATTTGTGCATGAGCTAAACCTTAACCATTCAAATTCCCTTAGGGGAATTTTGGAAATCCAAATATCCTGCAGCTGAGATTTGATTCGTGCATGAGCTAGGACACATGAAAGAGGAATAGTTTCATGGACAGAATTTTACTCATGCTGTTGTGAACTGCTTGTAGTGTTCAATCACTACAAGTATCTCTTGTTTGAAGTTGTAATACTTACGTTTCCCAATGAAATACTTCGGTTGTGTATCCTCAGGAATACAGGGTTTTCAAACAGCCCCAATGTTTCTTGGCTAACCACACAGAGAAACCTGGCTGAAATTCTGGGTTCGTTAGCATATGGGAAATCATGGCATGATAAGTTGGTTGTTGGACCTTCATTAGGGATCCTCTGATTTGCATATCTACAGTTTTCCAAGGACAAGGAGTAATCTTTATATATATACGTGTGTGTGTGTGTGTGTATATATATATATATATATATATATTTATTTATTTATTTATTTATTATTTTATTTATATGAGCACGTATACCATGCTTCTATGGGAGCATACTGTGTATCTACTACCTTTCTTTAAACACCTATTTAGGAAGACTTTTTTTGGTCTAAAACTTTGGGAACCACACAAGAATTATCAGATGATTATTTTTAAAATAGGAAATTTGAATTTTGAGTTTGTGACATTTAGGTCTAGCTCATCAAAAAATGGACGGCCTCTATTCAGTCGTGAGGCATTAGTTTTTTCTAGTGCATAGTTTATTTCAGAAAAACATTTTACTGAGATTAGTCTATGGCTGGCTTGTAGAGATTACATCTCCAAAATCTGAGATCTAAAGGTATCCCTAGCAAGTGTTTTGCCCAAGGGAGTAAATGGATAATATACTCTGGCGAGAGTAGGAAATATTTTAGCTACATATATTAGAGAAAAAACTTTGTCGTGGCTGGTCCCAAGCCGGTCATGACATTCCCAAGCCCGAATAAAGGAGGAGGATGGTGTTAGATAGGTTTGCCAGCATAAAATTTTGCCACATCTTTTCATGAATCTTGAACCTATGTTCTAGGGTCTGACCCTTGATATTGCGTAGCCCATCCCTTATAGTTGGGATAAAGCTCAGATGATGATATATATATTAGAGAGAGAGAGAGAGAGAACAAAACTATTCAACATGACTCCTTGTTCTCTATCCCCTTAAGATGAGTCTTATGGCTATTAGAAATGGATTGTAGTTTGATCTTTAAAACTTCTCCAACAAAATGGTAGAAATAGGGTGTTCAATTATAGTGGGAATGTTGGATCCAAGTCACTCAGTCCTGTTAAACTCTATGATTGAGCTTTATTGGCAGTAGCTTGACTACATTGTGGTTGATTAACACCATTCATACTTCCAAAACCATAGCTACCCGGGGCAAGAGTGAAAAAAGCTCCAGGGTCGAGAGCAGAAGTGCAGAGCAAGGAAGCCAAGAAGTTCTATGGTCGAGGGAACGAGTTTCGTACATTGGAGCATCATGCTATCCAATAATTGCGCATGTAAATGCTACGCCGAATCGGTTCAACACCTGTTCCTGCACTGTGAGGTTGTTCAGAATATATGGGTTAACTCCTTGGAGCTATTTGATAAACGATGGGTGTCTCTGGCCTTAGTGGATGGCCTATTCTGTTCTAGGTTCTGTGGCACTTTACCATTTTAGCCATTTCTTTGGGGCTTTTAGTTATAGTGCAATAAACAAATATTTGAGCTTCTCTACCTTCCCAAGTGCGCCTTGATTGACACCATTGAGATCATTATCATTTGCTGGGCAGGGTTAGGAAAGAATTTTGGGGCACTTTGGCAGTTGACCTCTTGAGCAATTGGAAGAAAGTGGTTCGCAGCAAAACATACACCTCCGGTGCTCATGCTTCCAACCAGATCCTGCACCTCAAGGAGCTTTAAAACTAAACTTCAACTGGAGTTCATTTAGCATCCTGGCCTGGCTGGTTTTAGGGGTGCCTTTAGAGATCATTGTGGTATTTCTTGTGTTCATATTCAGGAAATGCTGGTTTCAGTGATGCAATGCCAGCAGAGGCACTGGCACTTCTTGATGGTTGGGAATAGACAATTCTGTATGGGGCCATTGATGGTTGAAGGGGCCTCAGCTAACATAATGGGCATATAAGAAAGGTTGATGCCCAACATTTTTGTTGAAATCTTTGATTGACTACAGAGCACAAACAATCTGTATCCCAGGCTCAAACCATCCTTCTCCCATACATGGCAAGAATCCAGCCATATAGCAGACTTTCTCAAGAAGGAGGGGTTGGCTAGAAACAACATTGCTGTTATTGTTAATGAAATCACCTAGTGCATAATTTTGTAGGCCTTTTCTTTTTCTTTTTTTTTGGGAGGGAGTTGTGTAGGGCCTTTTAGTGCACAATTTGTATAGACCTTTGTGAAACAGTTCTCTAATGAAGTGTAATGTACAATAAAAAAAAAGAAATATAGTCCACAATTTTGTGAAGTTTGCATCAAGCAATGAGTGTAGATTAACCATCAAAAAAAGAAAAAGAGTAGTGATATATCCAACTTTGGACCTTGAAACAATCACATTTTTCTAAAAGTGCCCTACTAAGACGAAAATTTCCAATTCCAAATGGAATTTTCATAAATATCCCTTTTAGTTTACCATATCTAAGATATTTCCCATAATTTTTATATTTTACACTCATGTCCCTTTTTGTATTTTTTATATTTTTCTAAAATGCCCTTTGTGTCGGTGCTCCAAGTGCGGACTCATCTTGAACTTCAAGTCATGCCACACCCAAAGTGCGGTCGACGCTCCGACCAAACCTGAAGTTCAGGTCAGGTCGGCACGTCGAGTGCCAACCAACACCTTGGAGTCTTGTGGCAAACCCAAAATGCAGGTTGGTACTTCAAGCCTATGGAGCACTTGATCTCGGTTCCGCACTTTGAGTGTCGGCCCGCACTTTGAGCCTTGTGGCTACTCCATTTGCAAACGCGAGATGCTAGTCAACACTTGAAATGTTGTCCTACACTTTGGAGCCATGATGCAAATCTAGACATGAGCTTCAGGCCGTATGTTGACCCGCACTCTGAGCCTTGTGGCTGATGGGGTTTTGTGGCCTTTAAAGGTATGAGAGCAT